TCGAGTTGCAGGTTCTGGAATAGTTGACTGTATATTACATTGACGGAACTTCCTTCGTCGACGAGAATGCGGTGTGCGTAAAAATTAGCCATTCTCGCTCTTATTAGCAGGGGAATGACCGCGTTGGGGGCTCCTCCGGGAAGCTCTTCGAGGTAAAAGGTGATAGGCTCCGACCTACCTTTCACCCTTTCAAAAGTCACCGTCTGAGGAGGTGCAGAGTCGACCAGTTCATCCAGCTTCCTCTTGGCCGAATTTATGGTTAGGTCGTTGAATCCTCCACCATTGATGACCATGGCGGAGGGAAAGTGCTCCCACCTGCTGTGTGTGGACAATGGTTCTTGCAGGTGCTCGGGGACGTAGAAGTCCTCAGGTCTTGTGACGGAGAAGGAGGTCTGGATGGGGACCGACTCGTCAGATGGTCGGGCATCTTCCTCCGGTTCTCTTGTGTCCTGGGCTTCGCGATGAGGAGTGTCGTTTCGCCGATATTGAGCGAGTCTCCCCCCTTTTATGAGGGTTTCGATGGCGTCCTTGAGGTGGACGCAGTCCTCCATCAGATGACCATGCCTCCTATGGTACTGACAGTATTTGCTCTTGTCCACCCCGGGCTTGGCAGGAGCTGGTCGAGGGCGCTTGACGCTGCCATCTTTGAAATTCGTGCTGGCACACTCCGCCAAGATGCGCTCGCGGGAAGCCGTGAGCAGAGTGTATTCTGTGAAACGCCCCGAGGGTCCTCTCTACTCTCGGGCTTCTCGGGGTCTGTCCTCCTTTCTTTTCTCCCCGACTCGTCGAGGAGGAGCGGCTTCTTGGTGTGGGTTGCTGCTGGATCCGCGAGTTCTGGGGTTACGGGCTCTGTTGGCCGCCTCTCTTTCCTCATAATCCATATAGGCCCTGACCTTCTCGAGGAGAGCATCGAACGTTCGGGGTGGTTCGATGCCCACTGCTTTTCTGAACTCCGTGCTGGGGAGGAGTCCCCTCTCTATCAAGTATCTTTTTATGTGGTCCACGCAGGGGACCTGGATGGCTTCACGATTGAAGCGGTTGATGAATTCTCTCAAGGTTTCATCCTGTCTCTGGATGATAGCCTCGAGCGCCGCTTCGGTCTTTGGATGTTGCCGCGACGCGGTGAACGAGCTTATGAATTGGTTTTTCAAGTTTCTCTACGAGGTGATTGACCCTGGGGCGAGACCTTATACCAATCCATTGCTTCTTTCTTGAGGGTCGTGGGGAACAAACAACATTTGATGGGTCCCCCAATGTTATGGTAGTGCATCATAGCTTCAAACCCGTCTATATGGTCGACTGGGTCGGCAACTCCGTCGTATTCCTTCAGGCGAGGGGGCTTCTTCATGCCCGGGGGGATTGGAGCCTCCATAATGGCTTGTGATAAGAGGCCACGGGGGTTGTCCTTGTCACTTTGCTCTGGGGAAAGGGACGGGGACCTGAGGTATTTTCGGGCATGATGGTCCTGGTCGTGTGGGGCCTCCCTCGAGCGGGGTACTCGTTGGTCCGCCCTCCCGTGCCTGTCTCTAGGGTGTCTTCTTTCTTGCCGTAAGGGGTCGTGGTTGCGCCCTCCGGCTTCAATGAAGGGTTGTCTCTCCAAGGGGGTCGTCTCTCCGATTGTCGGGGCGACGGGCTTCGGGAGGTGTCTCTGTATTGTCTCTGCGGGGGAGACGAGAGACATACCTCTGTTACTCGAGGAGGTGGGGTCTGAGGCCTCCGGTGTCTCCTCGGGGGTCTTCTGTCGTCCTCTAGCGCCCTCAATGTTTCCCCCTGGGAAAAGATGAGGTAGTTGGTTTGATTGATTTCCGTGAACAGTGCTCTGGTTGTGGCATCTGCCCCAATTGGGACAGGGACTTCCTGAAATTGGGCAGCTAGACAGTTTGGGGGAGCCGTGTTGTCTTCTTCGAGTGGAGGAGGGACTGAAGAAGATGAGGCAGTGGCTCCATCGCGGTGGCCTGAGGGACCGGGGATGGCGCCCCCCGGGGTTGCCGGCGTTGTCGGTGGCTCCATTCTTATCTGCGAGGTTGTTATTGGCGTCGACGACGCGGATGTTCTGGTCATCCCGAATTTGGTCAGCCATGACGGTAGAAGGTGATTTTTAGCTTTGGTCTTTGAGAGTTTGCAAGACGGGGAAGCTAGCTTCCCACAGACGGCACCACTGATCTTATCCTGATCAGACTTGGACTGTCACAGCTGGCTCGAACTGAATTTGAGTGAGATGGGGGGGGGGGGGGGACCTGCAAGACACTCCGATGCTAAAATGAGAGACAGAATGAGCAGACAAAAAGTGTATAGGTGTGTAATAGATGAATACCTGACCCTCTTGGAGCAGAGGGTATTTATAGCCCCTAGCGCTGGGCCAAGGTCCCCTCATTGGGCCGACCAGAACTGGTCCAATAAAGGAACTGTCAGGTTCTACGTGTGTAGTGGGGCCCCGAACATGGTCCTCTTCCTGGTGATGCTGTGCGAAGAATAAGGAAGGGCGAAGACGCGGTCTTTCTAGAACTTGGAGGATTCTACAACGGTTAGGGTGGACAGAATCTGCCCTACGGGGAGGGTGCTCGAGCTGGACTCGAGCTGGAGTTCTCTTGGTCGGGGACATTGCTTGTAGCGAGCAATGGCGGGCATAACACTTGCAGTCTGTGGTCGGACACATTCGGTGAAGGTCCGTTTGTGAGCATTCCTCGAGGAGTTATCTGGATTTGGGCCTTCATCTGCATTTTGGGCCAAGGCGGGCCCAGTCCAGAATAATATATATATATATATATATATATATATATATATATATATATATATATATATATATATATATATATATATATATATATATATATATATATATATATATATATATATATATATATATATATATATATATATATATATATATATATATATATATATATATATATATATATATATATATATATATATATATATATATATATAATATATATATATATATATATATATATATATATATATATATATATATATATATATATATATATATATATTATATATATATATATATATATATAATATATATATAATATATATATATATATATATATAT